GAAGATGGCAAATCCTTACTGAACAGAATGGAGGATATATTGTTCAATCGATGGATTTCTTCTTCTAGAAATTTTCATTCAAAGATGAATCAAAAATCGGCGGAGACTTTTCGGACAACCCAATATATGCTTTCGGAAAAGAAAATAGTTCTGGTCGGTTCATTTGGTTATGTTATTATCGGGAGGTATTTCGGTGTTGGAAGAGAAAATAGAAAATAGGAACAAGGTAACTGATTCTGTAAATGCTCACCTTTTTCTTATCTTCCTTTTTAGTGTCCTCGGTTTTCTTCTTTTTGCTATCGTCTGTCTTCCCTTTCTTATCCTCCTTCTTTTCCGATGCTTTTCCCTTCTTATCATCTTTCTCCTTCTTCTTATCTTCGGTCTTGTCTTTCTTGTCTTCTTTCTTTTCTTTCTTGTCGTCTTTCTTCCCTTTCTTGTCCTCTTTCTTCTCTTTCTTGTCTTCTTTCTTCTCTTTCTTGTCTTCTTTCTTCTCTACTTCTTTCTCTTTCTTATCGTTCTTCTCTGATTCCTTTTCTTCTTTGGTTTCCTTCTCCTCATTCTTCTTCTTCTTTTTGTCTTCCTTTGATTCCTTCTTCTCTTTTTTGTCCTCTTTCTCTTCCGGTTCCACAGTCTTCTTGTCGTGCTGAAATTAGATGATATTAGATTTCAGCCCTAGATCGATTTTGCTGAGTGGGAGGGGTTCTGCTATTCCTATTTTTCCGTCAGAAATAGATGAACCATTGTGAACGACGCAAAAGTTCAAGTTATAAGCTGTCACAACGTCAAACTCCAAATCAAAGGAGTTTCAAGTTGTTCAGACGCAAGATCGAAAGCTCTGCGGTATCAATTAACCTCAGGATACCCCTCCAGGAGGACTAGAGAAACACTGGAGATATTAACGAACCGTATTGTATTAGGAGTCAAATTAACGGCATTAACGATTTATGTAATAGGAGAGATAGCCACACATTGCAAAGCTGTATAGCCCCGTCAACTTAGTAGGAGGAATACTGGAAGAAGCCCAGACCATTTCGCCATTACTAGGACAACATCAGAGTGGACCTCACGAACTCCATAGCTCCGTCTACTCTCAGTTTTCAAGAAAAAAATCAGGCTAGGACGAAACCACCAAAGGTGCAACTAAGGTTGCCAGGGCATCGACCATCTTTTGGTGGCTCAGACTGCAGAATGCTCACGAGAGAAAAGCACTACACCTCTAGAGTTAAATATCCAAGATAGCTTCTTCCTAACTTTACAGTGCTAGAGCGCTACTATTGTATTACACAGTTACTTGCAACTGAGAAGATAAAGAAAGGTCGTCAATTAAAACAAGACGTGCATTAAAGATAGAACGGGTTTGCGGTAATTTTCCGAACTGAATTTTTCTTTCAGTTCAAGGCTGGCGCAAAAACGGCAAATTTTGCCTCATACCAGAAACTGTGATTGTATATATGTTTTGTATCCCTATGTTTGCATGTTTACGAGCTCGATATTACCGTACGGCGGCTTGACACTGTGTAAAACCGATTGTCAGTACGGCGCGAAACATACGGTTAGATATTTTTCTTAGCCGTCATGGCGGAGATTTGCCCTTTACCTTCAGGAATCTATTTCCGAAGGTAAAGGGCATCTTCCCGAAAATTGCGTTGCATCCGATCGCGCACTATTTAGGGAAAATTTTGGAGTCTCACTAGAAAGATACCGTAGTTACCGCGGATCCACTGCCACTTCCCATGGGGATCCGGGAGAAGTACCGCCACCCATTTCTGAGTCGTCCTGGTCATATAGTGCTCTAGGCTGTCGTTCCAAACAGAGGATATGAGATAAGAAAGGATAAATACTTTGCCAATGACCAGCTCCGATTTAGGATTCGACTTCCTTTCAGAATCGAATTCCCGTTTTGAACGCGTGTGAGGCCTATACGTACAATGGATTGCGGTGACCAACCAAAGTACAAGTTCCCTGATTTCATCAACCTTCGACATTACTTTGAGAAAAATGACCCACTTTGAACTGATTGACCTTGGCGGTAACCTATTTGTGATTCGGCATAGGGATTATGTACATAGTTACGTTTGTAGAGTTTGATGAAGCGCCGTTAATCCCTTTACAGACAATCCCAGGAAGGCGAAAACACTTTTTGCAAACAATTTTTCTAGCTATCCAGTGGAAAAAACATGAAACAATTGTGAACTATTCTAAACGCACCTTGGAAGTTTTAGCTTCAAATTCGTCAAGTGCCCTTTGCATTCCATCGAGTACTTGTGGTACAAGGGGATAGAAATACTTGTTGTTTTTATATTTGGCTTGGTTGTTAGTCTTCAGAGGCTCCCCATCAGTATCTGAATCAGGAAAATTGGAAAAGCTTTCATAGCAAATAATCCCGCTGAAAAGCTCAATTATGAATCTTATATAGTATAGTCTCACCTAAGAACAGGATTCTCGGAATGTATCCACCATCGGGAGCGTATTTATCGTCTTCAGGTTCATCNTACCGTAGTTACCGCGGATCCACTGCCACTTCCCATGGGGATCCGGGAGAAGTACCGCCACCCATTTCTGAGTCGTCCTGGTCATATAGTGCTCTAGGCTGTCGTTCCAAACAGAGGATATAAGATAAGAAAGGATAAATACTTTGCCAATGACCAGCTCCGATTTAGGATTCGACTTCCTTTCAGAATCGAATTCCCGTTTTGAACGCGTGTGAGGCCTATACGTACAATGGATTGCGGTGACCAACCAAAGTACAAGTTCCCTGATTTCATCAACCTTCGACATTACTTCGAGAATAATGACCCACTTTGAAATGATTGACCTTGACGGTGACCTATTTGAGATTCGACATAGGGATTATGTAAATAGTTATGCTTGTAGAGTTTGATGAAGCACCGTTAATCCCCTTGCAGACAATCCCAGAAAGGTATAAACACTTTTTCCAAACAATTATTCTAGCTATCCAGTGGAAAAAACATGAAAAAATTGTGAACTATCCTAAACGCACCTTGGTAGTTTTGGCTTCAAATTCGTCAAGTGCCCTTTGCATTCCATCGAGTACTTGAGGTACAAGGGGATAGAAATACTTGTTGTTTTTATATTTGGCTTGGTTGTTAGTCTTCAGAGGCTCCCCATCAGTATCTGAATCAGGAAAATTGGAAAAGCTTTCATAGCAAATAATCCCGCTGAAAAGCTCAATTATGAATCTTATATGGTATAGTCTGACCTAAGAACAGGATTCTTGGAATGTATCCACCATCGGGAGCGTATTTATCGTCTTCAGGTTCATCATCATCTTCCACGTTCACCATAACGAATTTCTCGGACAACTCAATAAGCTCTGGCATTTTTGGTGCCGTCGTGAATTCCCTTTTGAGCCCTGAAATAGATCCTTCATAAGGTCCTTTGGTCAGCTTAAGCAGTCATATCGGAGACTAAGTTACCACTAATGGAATTAAGAGTCTTACACGAAGAAGATTAGAAAGTGCTCCAAAAAAAGTCGAAAGGTGTATTAATATTCCACTTCGTTGGGAAAACCGAGGAGCGACAGCTGATGCCAGCTAATTGAGCCTTTTCCCTCTAGCAGGACTTATTTACTGATTTCAAACTACTTCTATGAAAAGTGAAACGCTTTTGAGGTTTGACTGACCTCTCTGGAGGTATTTGCTTTCGCAGTTTTCCTTCACGGGAATTCTTTCCTCAATTACCATTAATTATGCTGGTTCAAACTAGCAGCAGAAACCACATTGCCAGGGAGGGAAGGGGTATTCAGTTTTCGAGTAAGCCCGTCGGTATAGTAGGTTTTGCTCAGAGATCTTTCGTTTCTAGATGGGTGGATCCATAGAACCTCGCATGAATCTGGTTTCCACTACGTTCGTTTTCCAATAAATTTCCTATCTGTATGCAGCCTTTCTACGACATGGCGACAAAAAAGGACTTTCCCAATCCCTGCGATAGGCCCACTATCTTACAACAACAACGACCTTGCCCTTGATACCTTTCAAAAAACATGCACCAACCCAAATGCTTCCATATATGNTTCCAATAAATTTCCTATCTGTATGCAACCTTTCTACGACATGGCGACAAAAAAAGGACTTTCCCAATCCCTGCGATAGGCACACTATCTTACAACAACAACGACCTTGCCCTTGATACCTTTCAAAAAACATGCACCAACCCAAATGCTTCCATATATGCCCCGCTAAGAAAATAGGTCGAGCTTATCTGTTCTTCTGCCCACCCCATTCCCCTGAAGATGATGACGCTGACTAGTCTTACAAGCTCTTCGAATTGAAGGAGAATATGTAGCTCACATGGTCTAAACATGCAAACAAAAGGAGATACATAGAATGGTCGTCAAGTCGCTCACCAGCGCGACTCATGCATCTGCAGGCACAGTGGTAAAAAGACAAACACTTAGAGAAGTTAGATGGGAGGAAACTTTGTACTAAGTGGCCATTATCGCTATATGCCGTTTGAACTA